TCTTCACTGTGCCTCTTTGTCCTGGGAGCCTAGGATTCTTTGAACTTGGTGCAATATTCTATGATCTGGCTGCCACTACTCCTGAGTAGGCTAGAATTTTAGGAAGGTGGGGATGGACTTTTACTATCACCTTGTCCTGAGGTTTTTTCCAACTGAGTTGCTCAGAGTCTATACCAATTTTTAGTTGTTTTATATATTGAGCTTCCTGCAAAGATACCCTCTGAAACAGAATTCTGTGGGAATGGGGGTGGAGGGAGGTGAAGTGCTGGGGGGCGGTTGAAAGTCAGTGATTTAGTCCAACTTCTTCATTGTACTGATGAGAAGACCCAGGTTCAGAGAAGTGACTTCATAATCTACACCTTATCTCTTTCCTGCCTCATCTGAGGTACCTCATCCTTCTGCACTCACACACACACATACATATACACCCAGTCACCTTGTATTCAAGCTGTTTCCCCCACATGGAATGTCATTTACTCTTCATCGCCCACTCAACCTACTACTGTTGTTGTTAGTTGCCATCGAGCTAGTTCCAACTCATGATGACCCTATGTGCACAGAGGAGAACAGCTCCATAAAGTTTTGAGGCTTTCTGAAGCAGATCGCCAGGCCTGTCTTCCAAGGTGCCTCTGGGTGGATTTGAACCACCAACTTTTTGGCTAGTAGTCAAGTGCTTAGCCACTGGCACCACCCACGGGACTCCTTCAACCTAATACTCTCAAACCTCAATTCTTAGTTCAACCATTGTAATTTCCTCCATGAAATCTCTCATCTGCCACTCCCTAAGCCAACTGAGTCTCACTGCCTATCTTCTTTCTGTAGCACTTTTTCTATGCCTGCACTGGAACACTCTTCACACTATGATTAAATATTGTTGTTTGTCTGTTTCCTCCTCCAGTCTATAAGCAGCTTAAGGGCAGGTTCCATGTCTCATTTATCTATGAAAGTTCTCTACCTATCTGAGTGCCTGGCATATAGTAGATACTTAATAAATGTTGATCTAGCAAAAAAGGTGACTAGTTGGTTGATCTGGCACAGACACACTCTGAGAGCATCCCAATAAGGAAGAAGGAATGGTGGCTTAGAGTAACCCTGTGGTTTGCTCTTAGTGCTTCCTGAATCATGTTGGTTTTCTGTTTCCTCAGGGCTTTCTTAACTGAGCTAAATCCAAAATATTTGTTTACCTGTTTGAAATGACTAGACCTAGCAAAAGTTAGGGAGAGAATGAAAAGTGATAGAGATAGAGCAAAATGTCAAGCAAAATGTAAAATCAAATTCCAGTATTTTGGCAAATAAGCCTAAAGGATTGTCTGAAAAAACACCAAATTCACTGCCATTGATTTGATTTGACTTGATTACGACCCCTGTTGGGTTTCCGAAGCAGTAAATCTTTACAGAAATAGATTGTTCCATCTTCCTTCTGTGGAGCAGCTGGTGGGTTTGAACCACCAACATTCTGGTTAGCAGTCAAATGCCTTAGCCACGACACCAAAAGGACTATCTGCTGACCAATTATCTCTCTCCCTTGAATTTCCAGTTGAAATGACTGAAAACAATCTCAATTCTTCTTTTTGTCCCTCAAAACCCAGATTACTTGCTTAGTAGCTGTAGTAAAGCAGAGAATGTAGTGAACTATTTTATTCACATATTTTATCTATTCTGAGGTGCCATCAGTTGTAAAGTTCACCATTATTTTACATACCATGAATAAAGAAAAACCTCTTCCCATTAAACCATGCCACAATTTCAGAAATGTTAAAAAATGAAAATAAGGGTGTTTTCAATCACAGAAGGACAAATATTATGTTGTTGTTGTTGTTGTTATGTGCTGTTGAGTCGGACCCGACTCATAGCGACCCCTCCTTGGGTTGCCGAGGCAGTATCACTACAGAAGTAGATTGCCCAACCTTCCTTCCGAGGAGTGGTTGGTGGGTTTGAACCGCCAGCCTTCTGGTGAGCAGCCAAGTGCCTTAGCACTAGCAACCAGAGCTCCTGGACAAATATTATATTAGTTCATTATTGTAAAAAGTCAAGGGAAGGTTTATATATAGAAGGAAACTTTCTTTGTTGGTAACCAGGGGTGGTACGGGAGGGGAGGGAACACCACAAAAATAAAATAATAATAATAATAATGAAAATAAGGGTGTCTTAAATTAATGAAATACTGTATGTCAGCATCATAGGTTGTTGTTTAATGATATGTGGGTCTGTTTCCTCATCCATTACATGAGCAGTTTGGACCAGAGAAGCTCTGAGAACCCTCCCCTCCCAACATCTTTGAGTTCTATAACATTATAAAGGGATGCTCCTGATGGGGCAGTGACTGTGTGGTGACTGCCAAGACTGGATGTCTATCCAGGTTCCTTCTGTGCTTTGCCCTTAAGAGTTGAGGGTTCTCACACTGCAGGGTCCTCCTTCAGGACTCACCATCCACCCATATCATTGTGAAGAAGCTCCAAGACAACCTACTGTAATAAGAAAAAATACTGCACCTAGAGTTTGAGTAAAGGAGCTCTGGTGGTGTAGTGGTTAAGGCATTTGTCTACTAACCAAAAGGTCAATGGTTCAAACCCACTAGCTGCTCCAGGGAAGACAGATGAGGCAGTTTGTTTCCAATAAGTGTCACTATAAGTTAGAATTGACTCAATGGCAGTAAATTTGGTTTGGTTTTTGGAGAGCTTGAGTAATCTGGCTTAGACATAAGGAACCAGTGAATGTCTGACTATACCTCCTTCAGGAATCACTTCTGGAGATGCAAAGCTTTAATTCAAAGGATTTAATCTAAAATTGGCATATAGTATGGTGGGAGTTCTGGTAGCGTAGTGCCTAAGGCACTTGACTGCTAACCAGAAGGCTGGCAGTTCAAACCCAACCAGAAGGAAGGTTGGGCAATTTACTTCCATAGTGATATCACCTCAGAAACCCAAGGAGGTGTTGCTATGAGTCAGGTCTGACTCGATGGCACATAACAACAACATGGTGGTCATGTTGCCCATTTGCCCTGGATTGTCCCAGTTAACTCATTTGTCCCAGTGTTATTGTGAATAGCTCCCAATACCATTTGGATAGTATACAGGCTGACTGGGGACTGAGTGGTTGCCAATGTACCTTTGATTAATAATTGCCTAAAGTGGTCTGACAATTACTAACATCAGGGACTTTATTAATGTCTGGTTAGTTACTTCCAAGTGCTAATGTTTAGTTATGAGCCCTGGGATATTGCACCACTGAAGCAAGAAATGTCAACACAGTGAATGACTTTTATTTACATATGGTAAAATGGTAAGAATAGCCATCACCCAAACTTATGATAACTTCTTGGCCACAGCCTGCCACCCTGAGGGAGCAAGTAGTTGGACCTGTGGGCTTGGCACCATGGTTGCAGGGGACATCAAGCTCAATTGGCGTAACATACTTCACAGAAACATTGTTTTGCATCCTACTTTGGTGTGTAGCAACTGGGGTCTTAAAAGCTTGCAAGCTGCCATCTAGATGCAACAATGTGTCTATCTTTGTCCAGAACAAAGAAAAATGAAGAAAACCAAAGGCACATAGAAATAATTAGTTCAAGGGACTTATACATCATGTGATCTTCAGCTTATATGACCATGAGACCAGAAGAACTAGATGGTGCCCGGCTACACTGTCAACCACTCAGAAAGGAATCAGTATAGGAAATCCTGGGTAGAATGAGAGAACAATGTGGAACAAAAGTCAAAATCGTAAAAAAGGACCAGACTTACTGATCTGATGGAGCCTAGTGAGACCCCCAAGACTGTGGCTTCTGGTTACCCTTCAGGTCTAGAATTGAACTCACTCCCGAGGCTTCCAGCTGAACGATGGACTGGCATATAAGGTGAACATTTACATCAGATAGATACACCCCTTAGAGCAATCAATCATGAGAGAGGGTAGTGTTTGCACAGGGAGCTAGCTCAGGGGGCAGGAATGCTTAGGAAATAAGGACACAGGGAAGAAGTAGCTATGGGGAAGTGAAAATAGAGATTACATTGTGGGGAATTGCAGTCAATGTCATGAAACAAAATGTGTGTAAATTGCTGTATAGAAAATAAATTTGCTCTGTAAACTTTCACCCAGATCACAATAAAATAAAAATAAAAGAAAATAAAAGAATAGCCATCATCCTTTATCAAACTTAGCCCTGAGGCAGTTATGTGTTTCCTCAATTTTTGTACTTCTTCACACTTGAATAATTCTTAAATTAGAATAGATGTTATAGCTACTGCATATTTCAATCAGTTGTTGTTGTTGTTGTTGTTGTTGTGTGCTGTCAAGTCGGACCTGACTCAGCGATCCCTCCTTGGGTTTCCGAGGCAGTATCACTACAAAAGTAGATTGCCCCTTCTGAGGAGTGGCTGGTGGGTTTGAAATCAGTGGCACCTTATAATGAAAGAACTCCAGTAATTCATTCTCCTTTCTGGACTCCCGTCTCCTTTACAAATTGAAATGACAGCTGAGATGGTAGAACCAGTGGGTCTTTAGGGCAACTGTATATAAACATTTGATTTGGGTATTTATCAACTTCTTTTCCTTCCCTTTCCCACCAGGAGAAGTTGTTCCAGTGCAAGGAACTGCATTTGACCTGAGGAAGCCAGTGGAGCTTGGAAAACACCTGCAGGAGTCCCACATCAATGGTTTTGACCACAATTTCTGCCTGAAGGGATCGAAAGAAAAACGTTTTTGTGCAAGGTCAGGTACTTTTCATTTACTGCTTCTGTGGGGAAGAAGACACACCAGGTCTTATAGCATTTACCTTGTTGCTGTTGCTGTTAGTTGCCATCAAGTCAGTTCTGACTAATGGCAACCCCATGTGTGCAGAGAGCTGCACTCTATAGTGTTTTCAAGGCTCTGACTTTTCAGAAGCAGATTGCCAGGCCTGTCTGATGAGACACACGTGGGTAGGTTTGATTCTCCAATCTTTCTGCTCCTAGCTGAGTACTTAACCATTTGCACTACCCAACTCACCATATCCCAGGTCTTTTTCAAGGCTCCCATTTTATAGGAGAGCTCTGTGGAACTTATCTTTCCCCTCCTTCACCATGCTGTTATTTCCACTACTCCTGCCTGGAATCCCTTCTAGGTTTGCTCCCTATCTCCCATCTCTGCCTGTTCTTTTAGGCACATTTTCTGTTAAAAGCCCTAATTCCTCCTGCCTGGAGTCACTTCTGCCTTACTTGAACACCCAGAGCTCTTTGTGCTTTCTCAAGGTGTGATTTATGCCTTGCTTAAGGCATTTGGCTGCTAACGAGAAGGTTGGCAGTTCAAACCCACCAGCCACTCCATGGAAAAAAGACTGGGCTATCTACTTCCATAAAGATTTACCACCTCGGAAACCCAGAAGGGGTTCTCTATGAGTCGGAATCAACTCGATGGCAGTGAGATTGGTTTGTTTTGGTTTTTTTTTTTTTTTTTAACTTCCCTGGAGAGTTGGAGGCTACAGTTCCCTTATGTAGCGCTACGTACCTCTGGCCTTGTTTGATAGATATTTGTGTTGCATACTCTCACTAAATTCCAACTTCCTCATGCTATTTCATCTTTGTGAATCCCTACCTCTGTCCTAACAACAAAACCATGCTTGGCACTAGTAAATAATAAGTATTTGTTGAATGAAAACATGGGTTTTAAATATAGCAGAGAAAAAGGATTCAAACTAACAGAAACAGAAAGAACTTCAAAAACCTTCTCTCCTGGAAGATGAAGACATAGCGAGGTGCATGGGAGGTACAGACAACAAAGATGAACCATTTTGTACATAAAGTACTGCATTGTCAGTTAAAGCAAATGTGGATATGTGGACGGATAGATGAATGGACAGGCTGAACTATAAGGTATGTCTATCCAGAGGGGCGTGTGCCCAAGGCCATGTATAGGGTTAGCAGACAATGTTTCTACAAGTGTATTTGTATTCCCAGGTATATAGTAGAACTGACAAGGGACAAGGTTGTAGTCACTTCTTGGCCACAGCCAGCTACCCAGAGGGAGCAAGTAGTTGGACCTGTGGGCTC